GGGGGAGAGCGGAATCGAACTTCGCCGAAATTTATGAAGATTTCTATTTCGTCCAACTTTCTGTTATTCCCTTCATCATTCAGTACTCGTTTGGGAATTTGATTCGGATTGGTTTAGATGCTGAGATTAAGGAGTCTTCGTTCTGGGGTGGATTCAATAGCGATTTGATCCGTTGTGGTCAGAAAGCAAATGCGAATCCATTATGCTGATATCTCTCGGGTCGTTTTTACTCGTGTGTAATCGTTCGTTCAGGCAGTGTGGCTGGTGGCGAGGGTTCGGTGAGGGGTAGGAGAAGAGGTGCACGAGTCGCCTCGGCAGTTGGTGGTGGCGGACTGGCCTTTGCCTCGGGGACTGGTGTTAGGCATCCGGGAGGCCTGTATAAGAGGTATGTGCATGCGTACTGATCTCATACCACTCCTCCGCTACATCACGGGGTTTTCTTTAGACGTTTGCGCAACCACCTGGTCATGCAGCTGATCCGCTCCAATAAGCCGATACCGCCTAGTAGTAGATTCACGGCACAGGTAGGCGTTGAGGAAATGCAAGATTTCAAGATTCTATGCTCAGGACTATTTGGCGGCTGAGCGGTCCCTTACGTGGAGACGAGCCAGAGATGGGGTATCTGGTGTGGCGGAGAAGGGCCGGACTAACTCTCATGATGAGGTGAGGTGGTTTCGGTCGCGGGTTCGATGAATGGTCGGGGGACGTTCTTTCCTTCTGTGATATTATTTTCGGCGAATCATTCAGATGTATAAATATGCTAGGGTTGGTCGAATGTCGAATATGTGGGATTATTGACAGCTTCAATTGGTTGTGAATTTTGTGGCGCGCGAAGATCTTTCTGCAGAATGAAATGCCGACTGCAATGGGAGGAACCTCGCCGAGCAAGTCGAGTGTCGCCAAAGCAAGTGGCTTAGTTATGAGGGAAGGAGGTGCACATGTGAGGGATGATAACGTGAGTGCTGGGAATGGAAATGTGGTGGGTTCGATTCCGGCATCGATTGTTTTTTCGTGTCCTAGGTACCTCCTGAGGGCGCATCCCGCAAACGTAGAAAGTCGTGGGAAGATCGGAAGCCAGTTCAAGCGAGGAAACGTCAAAGGCGACAGAGGAACAATAGCAGGTAGGAAACGGCTGTTGGTTTGGGTGATGGGACTGGTTGTGATTAGTCCGGTAAATTTGCAATCAGCGGAGAGCAGGGGAGGCACCAATGGTAGCAGTCGAGCTAATGCGAGGACGCGTGGGAGGAGGGAACGAAGGAAGAGGCAACAGAGGGCTAAGCAGGAGGAACAGATGAATCGACGACGTTTGTTTTAATATTAGAGTACAACTTATGTTTCTTGAATGGAAGATTAGGACTAGTGTTAGCGATGAGAGGGTATGGTTGGGGGGAAGTATTGGAAATGTGGTATGTGAACTTGAGTGAATGAGTACTTGCTGATATCATCGAGGAGAGGGAATGGTGAGAATTTACGTCAGATTTCGTCCCTGGAAAGGTAGCGCCGACCGGATATGTTTAAATGGATGCGTTCGGGTATGTTTCTTAACGTCACTCAAGAACCAGCGAACCAGCATATCCTAAAGTACTTCGAGATTCCACCTTATAAAACAGCACGGCTCGATCTGTGGTATCAGGACTTTTCCAGATGAAAATGTGTGTGTTATTCGCATTCATTGAGCATACA